TAATTTGTTATTTTATCAATTCATTTTACGACCAAGAAAATAAAATAATTTATTAAATATTAAAATAATCTTTTATTATTTTTTTTTATAATTTTATAATAAAGAAGTATATATATATATTTTTTTTTTTTACAAAATTATTTTATTTTTGATAATTTAATAAATACATAATAATTTACACCCAATTCTTTGTTGAGATCAATATATCGAAAATTTAAGGCAATAATTGAAAGAATACGAATTTTACCATCTGCATCTTTTTTATTTAAAAATAATATATCTTGAAAACTATTCCAAAAGGTATTATTTTAATCATTCACTTTAATCATATTGTTTTTATAAAGGTTTTCTGATATTTCTTTATCGGCATTAGGTTTTAAAACTCTGTTCCAAAATTCAATATTTGATTCTTTTCTTGAAAATAGCATTATATTAGTACATCCACAAGCTTTAAACATTGCACGCCATGCTCGTAATTCTTTTTCTTATAAAATATAGTTAGACAAATAAATCTTTTATAATACAAGTGGGAATTGAACTATAGAGCTCTTTTGTTATTGTTAGTCATAAAAAAGATTAAGTCAATCATTAACTATTATATTTAGAATTTTACGTGATTTTACATGTTGGTCAAATACTTTTTTCAGTTGTTGAGTATTTTTCCAATTATCAGGTGTACATATTATTGATTCATTCTCCAATGCACATAATTTTTCTTGAACTAATTCATTTTTAATTCCAAATAAATAAGATCCAGTATACTTTTGATGTATTGTTAATTGATTCCAGATATTATTAGGAGTTTCTCCTATAATTTGTTTAACATATGCTGATTCTAGATAAATTTTTAAAAGACAGCATTTCTCTTGGATTTCAAGTAAAAAAAAATGTTATACGCTATTATAACATGTAATAAATGAGGAAATAAACCCTGCTTCAGCTATATAATATCTATTTTCATTCTTTGATGAACTGCCAATACTTATTATTACAATTGAAAATTCTCAACACGAATAAATATGGGGAAGAATGAAATATTAGCAATTAATTATTGAATTATTTTCTCACATTCAAATTCCATTACTGCTAAGCTTGAATATTCTGTTTTCGTACCAAAAACTGCCTGATAATAAGCTTTGATTGCTGTTGATGGATATAATTCAATTTCACTCTTAATTTCCCTACATACATATTGAAAATCCAGTTTTAGAAAATTTTTATCATTAGAAGTAACTGTAATAATAAATTCTTGACCATTAAGTTCATATTTAATATACATAAATAGACGATAAGATACTATAAAACACTCATTATTTGCAGTTGACTTGATATTAACGGTTTTCTACCAATTTTGAGCATAAACTCTATAGTGTAATTATAAATCTATAATACATATACTTAAAGGTTTGGTGAAAAGTGTCGTCTTTTTGGCATTTAGTGAGTTTACTTAATGACAAACTGTACATTTAGAAACACCGTTTTAATTATAAAAAAGCCTATTAATAAATGCTGATCATTTGTCTAGATGACTTGCGAATCAGCAATTAATATATTTTTTTATATATTTTTAAAATATAGGCACTTTTCAGTAAAAAAAAAAGAAAACTACTTAAAAAATATTTTTTGAGTTAATTTTAAATCTGGATTTATCTTACAAAAAAATTAATATTTAGCTTATAAAATAAAAATAAATTTTTTTAGTAATTTTCTCTTTTTCTACTATAAAACACCTATATATATATATAGGACTCAATTATTAAAACTTTTTAAGTAGATCTATTTAATAGAATTTCTCTTAGTAGTTTCTTTTTATACATTTAAACTATAAAGAAATACTTAATTAATTATATTTATTTTTTTTCATTTCTTATATTTTTATCAATAAACTATTTTACTATAATTATTTATCTGTATAATTTTTTTAGTAATAAACAGTTATATATAAATATAAATTTTTATTATAAGCTTATTTAGTATAAATCATATATTTGAATATGTAAATATAAAAGAATCAACCTTTAATACCTGTTTAATTATCATAATTCATAAGTATTGAATATTAATAATATTAATAACTAAAATTAATAGTTAAAATTCATTAGCAATTAATTGCAACCAAATGGTCTTTGATCATTATTTTGATCAATTTATTACCAATTTCCATTTTTGATTAATTTGATTAATCTTAATAATATTTTTATAAAACTTTTTTAACTCTTGTTCTAACTTTAATAATAATTAATAAACGTAAAAATCTTTTAAAATATATTGAGATTTTATTTAAAAAAACAAATAAATAGTATAATTATACAATTTGTATTAGCTGTATAAAGTTTGTTAATAAGTAATATATCAATAATACAAATGATAATATTATTTGATCAAAATTTAAATAATTTGAAATAATATTAAAATAATATAAAAATTTATGTTATTTAAATAAGTTATTTACAAATAATAAATAATAAAATATCACATGTCTTTTTTAAGTAACAATATTATTTATATTATTATTATGATTTAATTTATTTAACAGTATATATAATTAACTTATTGATCAAAATCCTAAAAAACATATTTAAAATTAATGATAATTAAATATAACTTAATAATTACATAATATTTATTTTATTTAGAATTTTTAATAATATTATAGAATTCAAAAAATATTTTATTATTTATTTATCAAATCTAAGATTTATTAACCTTATTTTTGCATTTTTTTCATTTCATTATTTTTTTATATTATATTTTTATTTTTAATATATATGATTTTTAGTGATTAAAATGAGTAAAGAAAAGCATAATTTTTATGAATTTTTTATTTATATACTTTAGATAATTTAAAAGTAAATAAAAAAGCAATATATTTTTATGTATAAAAAGTATATTTTATTTATTATTATTTTTAAACTTAAATATTTTATATCTAATAAAGTATTATTTTTATCATAAATATTTGAAAATTTTTTAATAAATATCATGAAAGTGAGAGACAAGAAATTAAGTACCTAAAGATGAGAAAAAATTAAAAAATAAAAAAAAGTAATTTTGTAGATTTAATTAATTTCTTTATTAATAATTAAAAATTTTAAAATTCATTTAAAAATTAATTTATAACTTAAGCAAAAAGTTATTTTTTTATATAAAATTAATTTGTTATAGCTAACTATTTTATATACTAAAACTAATTATATTTATAAACTTTAATTATAATATAATAGAAAATAAAATAAAATATAGATATATAAAATATAAGAAAAATAATAAAAATAACAAAAATATTTAAAAATGAAAAGTTAATCATTATTATAGATATAATAAGAATTTATAATTAGAAAAATTAGGTAAATCTAGTCAATCAGATAATCATGCAAATCTTTAATAGTAATTTGTTAATCATTGTTACATGATATTTTTCACATAATATTTTCTATCTTTATGATAACATATATTTATAATAAAAGTAAATCAAAAGAAAATGATAGTAAATTTGCAGGTAAATTTGCTTGTAAACCTTTACAATCTAAGGGATAAAAGTAGAAAATTTTAGTAGTTTTATTAAGTAATTTAGAAGCAATTGATTTAGCAAATCCTTTTTATTTTTCTTAATTTTTTAATTTTTTAATTTTTTATTATATTTTTTTATCAATCAATTTAATGTTATGTTAAATTTTATAAATTATATAACTTGTAATTGATAATAAATAATTATTCAATTTAATTTATAAAAACAAAATTTTATCAACAACTTTTTAAACTTTACAGATAGATAAACCAATTATTAATATAAAATAAAGCTTAAAAATTAATCAAGTAGGATTTACGAACTTTCGTTTCACGACATGACGCATTTCTTTATAAATTGGCTTTTCTGTAAAGATAACCCACCTTTTCTCTTCAAATTCTTCTCGTTCGCATACAATATATATTCTTTCGCACACCATAAAAATAAAAACACTTTCGCACACCGTAAAAAAAAAGAAAATACAAGATTATTTTTCGTGCCATAAAAATGAAAACTTTTCGCACACATAAAATAAAATAACAAATTATTTTTTATCACGCCATCTCGAATGAGCACAACGAGAAAGAAATATTACTATATGAATAAATATATAAAAGCCGCGAATTCGAGAGATCCAGAAAGGTTAGAAAGATTAGTGAGATATGGGAAACTTTATGAAGGAGGAATTGGAGTTCATGACACGAGAAAGGCCATAAAAATATACAAAATGGCCGCAAAATTAGGGGATAGTTATTCCCAATACAAAGTTGGAGTTTATTACCAATTCGTCATTTTCCTAGATCATTCTCCTTTAACAATTTATATAAAGTCATTTAACTGTCATTTACCTAGTTATTCCTACATAACAATTTAAATAAAGTCATTTATCCGTCATTTTCCTAGATCATACATGAATGTTCCTTAAATTGATTTCTATAAATTATAAATTAAGAGAGAACTTGAATTATTAACTTTTTGTGCAGTGACCTTTTAGGCTCGCTCGCCCAAATATCATAGAAATCTTATTACATTAATAGTTAGATATAATAATCGACAACAAAACGGAATAGTCAGGGTCCGCCATATAACTCACAAAAGTATGACTTTCCTTTTGACTCTTAAAACTAGTTTAGCTTTCTTGTGAATTGCGTCCTTTGATGCTTTCCATTCTTCAAGTTTTTCGAGCTATGTTAACAAAACTTATTTCATTTTAAGTTGTAGTACGATAATCTAATTTCAGCCAAAATAAATTGATACTTGGCCCGTTTTATAAAATATTTACAAAATGTGGCTTCAATTTTAAACTTTTTCGATCGTGTTTGCTGAATACATATTAAAATTTTATTATTTATTTTATATTTAATTGTTATAATATATAGTATATTACACGTCAAAATATTGTTAAGGTAAAGTGCAAACCTCTCGCGTGCAAAGTTTGCTAAAAAGCATATGAGAATTTATAAGTTATCGTCATTTATAATATAATGTAGCAATGGAACCTGAGGATCAAATTGAGAAGGAAGAGCTTTATTCAAGTTGGGCTTTATTAATTCAAACTGTTTTATTAATTGGCGCATTATGGACAAGTTATTACTTACATTTAAAACAGATCAGAGTTATACATGAAACTATCGTATCTATATTTGCAGGTAAATAGAGTTAAATTATGTTCATCGATATAAATGAATGATAATGAGCAAGATCTCGTTTTTTTTTTAGGAATGATTGTTGGATTAATTATCAGACTTTCACCAGCTTCAACAATTCAAAGAATGGTTACTTTCAATTATACATATTTTTTCAATATTCTTTTACCACCAATTATTTTGAATTCAGGATATGAAATGCAAAGGGTATGAATTAATTGTTAATTTTTTTTATTTTAAAAAAGTGGGAAAATGTTGAGCTAATCAAGTTCAATTATTAAAAAACAGGAACTTTTTTTCAGAAAAATTGGAACAAGCTTATTATTCGCGTTTATGGGAACTTTTATATCGGCATTGGTTATTGGGTATTTTTTTAATTATATAATTTACGCCTTGCATGATGTAAAACTTATGATATTAGTTCTGATTGTCATTCTTTAGAGTTCTCGTTGGAATATTGGCATTTTTCGGAATTGATTCACTTTCACTATCATTTATTGATTCGTTGATCTTTGGTTCAATTCTGTCGGCAACAGACACGGTGACAGTGCTTGCAATATTTCAATCATTAAAAGTTGATCCAAAATTATATACAATCATCTTTGGCGAAAGCCTGTTGAATGATGCAGTTTCAATTGTGCTTTGCGAGTAAGTACTTAATGCTAAAGAAAAAAAAAATTTTTTTGTTGAATTTTCAGTTTTATTATTATTATCGTTATGATTGTTATTTTTTTCTTTTTTAATAATTAGAACATTAAATCAATATCGTGAGCAAGAATTTCATATTTCCAATATTTTTCACGGGATTTTCTCTTTCATGCTCAAATTTGGAGTTTCATTATCGATTGGGGTTTTCATTGGAATTTTGTGCGCTTTGATATCCTTTCATAAAGATAATATTTCATACTTTCATTTAATTGTGTAATTTAAAGGTCCTTAATTCAAATTTATACATGTTAAAGCATTCGCAATTGCGCAAGTATTCTTCGATAGAGTCATGTATAATCGCCTTGATGGCGTATTCTTCTTATTTATTATCAAATGGTATTGATTCATCAGGTAAAAATTGATTTCAAAAGTTATCATTCGAAACATCACTTTACTAATCATCGTTTTTATAACTTCTGTAAATAGGGGTCGTATCGTTATTGTTCTGCGGCATAATTCTAAAGCATTACGCTTATGATAACATGTCATTAAAAACCAAACGAACAACGAAATATTTGTTTCATGTATTAGCTCAACTTTCGGAAAATTTCATTTTTATTTATCTAGGGTTAACTTTGTTCACAAAATCTGATCTTGAATATAAGCCAATATTTATATTTTTTACAGCGGTAAGAAAATTTTTGATCATTTACGAACTTTTAATTGTAAGAGCCGTTCAAACCTTACTTTATTAATCAATATCTCTAGATATTTATATGCATAGGACGATATTTTGCCATATTTCCCTTATCATTTTTAGTGAATTCTTTTGCACGATATCGAAACGAAATTGATTCAATTCCACAAGAACATTCTATCATGCTTTTCTGGGCAGGTATGCATAATAATAATGACATTTTATATATATATAAAATTTATGCACTTTTAAATATTTCGTTTAATTTTTAGGGTTACGTGGAGCTGTTGCGTTTGCACTAACGGCAGAACTTGAGGGCAGAAATGCGAATGCAATGCTAACAACCATTCTTGTTGTTGTAGTACTTAGTGTCATAATATTTGGTGGTTCAACCAGTATGATGTTGGAAGTTCTAAAGATTCAGACAGGTATAGAACAACAAGGTGAAAATGATAGCGATGATGAGGAATATGATAAAGATGAAGAGGAAACGACATGTCATCATACAAGAATTGAATCTGAAGAAATGATAGTGTGTGATTCTATAAATTCCGCTCAATTAAATAATATTACATCCAATGAAACTGAACGAAAGCATTGGTTTATTTCATTTGATGATCGGTTTTTAAAACCGTTGTTTACGCGTCAAAAGAATCAAAAATATGTTTCTCCGCATGATCAAAATAATGTTGAAAGTTTCGGGCTTGTATCAATTAACAAAAAAGATAACGAAAACATTGAAGTTAAAAATAATCACATTAGAAATAGTAGTGATACATTTGCAAGTGTTACGATTAATAATTTTTCAACTACAAATTTGAATTCAAATAATCAAAATTCCGAAAATAATCTTTTAAATTCTTCAACAGAGACATCTCAATAATTATAGAATTTCAATAATTATAGAGTTAAAATTGTATTCACAATAAATAAATTATTTTCAAACGTGAATTGCACAACTTGTCCCATTTCTCTATGTATTCTGGTATATGTCACCGGTCGGTCACGTGAGGGTGAAAATTTACTTATAATCTTTTTTTGAGGAAAACTCTCTTTTTTAAGTAGAAATTTCGTAATTTTTTTTAGTTCAATTTATTCTCGAAAATTAGGCAAGTATCATTTTATCTTTTAGATCAAAAGAAAAATTCATTAAGCAAATTAAAACCAAGTTATAAATTCATATATCATTATTTGTGACTTTGGATATAAATTATATAAATTTAAATTATTTGCAATAGTAAAGTCGTTCAACTCTGCTGTTTGAGGCGCTGCTTTATTTAATTTTTCAAATGCATTGTAGCGTTATAGGTATGCAGGGTACAATTCGGTAGCTGGATAGTTAGATATCAAGAAAATCTTTAAACAAGGATTATGTTAACCTTTAGCTAACCTAAATAATTTCTTAATTAAAGTATAACTTCATAGAAATTATGAAAGTGGTTGCTTTAATCAGTGGAGGAAAAGATAGCTGTTATAATATGATGCATTGTGTTGCAAATGGGCATCAGATTGTGGCATTGGCAAATTTAAAACCACAATCAAAATTCATAAAAGGTTTGAACTTTAATTCTCAACCCATCACATCATTAATTATTGTCAATAATTTGCTTTAAATTATAACATTTGGATAGTTTAGATGAACTCGACAGTTTTCTTTATCAAACTGTTGGTCACGGCGCGATTGAATATATTGCTGAATCCATGAATCTTCCTCTTTATCGACGTGAGATTATGGGCAATTCTTTAGTTCAAAGTGCAGATTATCAGCAAACTTTGGGTGATGAGACCGAAGATTTATATAAATTATTAAAACAAGTGAAGGTTGTTTAAACTTGTTGCGGTTTATTATTTTATTTATTATACTTTAATGTTGATATTAAAGTATATTTATTTCGAATTTTGATAGAAAGAACATTCTGATATTCAAGCGGTTTCTGTTGGCGCGATTTTATCAAATTACCAACGTGTTCGTGTTGAAAACGTGTAATGTAATTCTGCTTTAACTTTTGCTTTTCCCTAGATTACCTAAATGTATACTTTATTACAATATCATATAGATGTGATCGTCTTGGATTGACATCACTTGCTTATCTTTGGCGAAGGAATCAGAAAGAATTATTGAAAGAAATGATTAATGCTGGAATAAATGCAATTTTAATTAAAGTAGCTGCAATAGGTAAATAAATGTTTGACGATTAGTGAGCTTTATTATTTTATTTCATATCTTCTTATAATTGTAGGACTTAAAACTACACACCTTGGAAAGTCAATCGCACAATTATATCCATATTTATGCGATTTGGTTAGTTTAATATCAAATTCTGATTTTTATCCACATACGAATTTTTGAAAATTTTTATTTTTATTTTTATAAATAGAATGAAAAGTATGATGTACACATATGCGGTGAAGGTGGTGAATATGAAACGTTTACTTTGGATTGTCCTTTATTTGTTAAGCGACTTTCTGTGTAAGATTCACTTATAATACGCACTTTTTAGATGAAGTAATTTTTTGTTTAAAAGATGTCTAACTTATGATTTTATTTTAGTCAGGAAGTGGAGACAGTTATACATTCTGATGATGCATTTGCTACAGTTGCCTATCTTCGCCTCAAACGTTTAATTGTTGAAGAAAAACAAGCTAGTGAAATTGTATCAAATCCTGTTATTGTGATTCCATCATGGAAAAAAGATATTGAAGATTTTACTATATTTGACAAGCAATCGGTGAGATAATAAATTTTTTTATGATACTTTTAAATTTATCTAATTATTATGTTTCTTGTAGAAATTGGATAATAACAGAACAAATTATGTCATGGTATCGATTAAAATTGATAATTTGAGCGAAGAATTTTTATCGGAAGAAAATCCCCGTATGTAATCGTGAATTAATATTCTTATGCGATAATTCCCCCTATTAAAAATTTTTTCCCCTTTAATTAGATTTATTTTCTTCATATTCAAATCCACCTTACTACAACGTATCTGGTACAACTGCATATGATAATTCACAAGAGGTTCAACAATTCGAATCAATCGAGGATGAAACGTATGCGTGCATGTTAAATCTTCAAGGTATCTATACTTAATCTTATATTTGTTGAAGGGGAGATATTCATTTATTTATTTACATCTCTCTATGTACATCTGTTAGAAAAGTTACATGAATTAGGTTTAAGTTGGTCTGATGTAGTAAATATGAATGTATTTATTAAAGATATGGATGAATTTGGAAAAATGAATGCGATTTATAAGAAATTCTTTAATATTAATCCACCTACGAGGTATTTACATTGTATAAAGTTTTTGTTTTGTTCTAAATTATTTAACTGTTATATGTTTTTTCAAAATTATTATAGGGCGTGTGTAGGCAGCAATTTACCTTCACCAACGAATATTCAAATAGATTTGATGGCGATAAAACCTATATCTAATGAAGAATCTTCTAATCCAAGAGAAACTATGCATGTTCAAAGTATTTCTTATTGGGCTCCAGCAAATATTGGACCATATTCTCAAGCCACGATTGTAAGTTCTTTATCAAATATTATATTTTAAAAAAGGGACATTATTTATATTTCCTCTATTTTTATAGATAAAATGTCATGCATTTATTGCAGGACAAATAGGGCTTATACCATCATCACTTGAATTTCCTTTACCTCAGACACTTGAAATGCAAACCTTTCTATCGCTAAGAAATTTAGAAAATGTTACTTCAGTTTTAAAATTAAATGTGAAGAAAAGAACTGCTTTATCGATTTGTTTTGTTGATGATGAAAGTTCTTTTCCTTTTGTACAAAATGCGTGGAAAGTTTTCTGCGGACAAAATGACGAGAATTCCAAGGTATGGTTTTAAGTAATTTTATTTTGATTTTATTTATATCATGTTAATTCTTGTTATTTGGTAGAAATTTACGGAACCTGTTCTTTATCTTTCTGTTCCATCGCTTCCCCGCAGAGGTAAAGTTGAATGGCAAGTGTTAATACATCGTGACGATGATGGTATTAAGAATCCCTTAGTGGAACCAAAGATTTGGCAAGGTATATATATGTTAATTTAAGTTCTCTAAAAGTTGCTTAATTAAAATTGCTTAATTCTGACGAAATGCTTTTAATATATTTTTTATCTTTCAGATACTTCGGATACTATTGAACCAATGGTTACAAAGACAACTGCATGGTTTATGAATCCAATATTATGTAGTGTAATTACTATTCAAGTCAATAATGAAAGTAAGCTTTCTTTGTTTCAATTTGCTTTTTATATTTATTTATTTATTTAATTTTTTTTAAAAAAGAAGGAAAATAATTTAATACGTCTATTACAGATATAACTTTATTGAACTTACTTGATGGAATGATATATGGATTGGATAAGTTATTTAATAAATTTTTTACATTTTCACAAATTAAAAGTTCAAAATTTTGGAATAATATTGGATCTATTAGAATATTTTATTCTAAAAAGATTAATACTGATCAAAGTAAATTTGAAAAGGGTATTTCGATCTATAAATTATATAATCTTTGTTTTTTAATAATTTTAATATAATAATATTTTTTTCTTTTTCTTTTGTTTAGCTATTAAATTAAAAATTAAAAAATTTTTTTCTGAAATGAAAGCTGCTATTACATTTATTCCCGTATTAGCTATAATGGATGATTCTGTATTAGGAATTTGCATTCATGGAGTATTTTAAAAAAGGTAATTGGATAATTTATTACTTTTTTAAATTCTTTTAATGAATTTATAATAAAAGAAAAAATATAATGAATACATTAAAAATCTATAAAAAAAAAAAAATAATAATAAATAATAATGATTAAAATTTTTAATTACAATTTTTTTTGTATTACATATATCTTATTTTTTAATATTTTTTATAATATTATTAATAAATTATAAATTAAATTAATAATATATTTTAAAATAATAAATAAAATAAAAAAATACATAAAAAATTATTTTTGTATTTATTAATTATTAATACAATCAATCTTCTCTAATGCAACCCCTTGAAATTATAGTGAAAATTTTAAAAATATGCATTTAGAGATGGTATGCATTTAAAGAGAAAATTTTTTATATGAATTTTATATATTTAGGATTGAATGAGCGTGTGCATTTAGAGAGAAAATATATAGTGTATATATTTAAAAAGGGTATATTTAAAAGGATTAACTGTATTAAATATGAATATAATTTTAAAATGATATAAAACTTTATTTGTTATTATTTTAAAATGATATTATAATTAATTTTATTATTTTATTTATCTTATATACTAGGTAATAAAAACTGTTTATAAATCTGAAAAGTTAAAAATATAGTTTATTTTAAATTCACGTAATAAAAAATTCATAATAAATCAGTAATAAAACAAATATGTACTAAAAATAATGACTTAAATAAACAGTCTTATATTATGCTTTAAACTAATTATTTAATTTCTTAAAGTGATTACTAAAATATATTTTTATTATTAAATCCAATTATTATAGTATAATTATTATGTTTTTATCTATTTTTTTTTTTAAAAAAAAAAAATTAATAATATTAAATATAATAAAAATAAATATGATATGTATTTAATTAATTATAGTAAATGTTATAATATAAATCTATTTTGCATTATAATAGATTAGTTTAATAAATATAATAAAAAATTTAAAATTGATATTTTTAATAAAAAGATTATTAATACTATTTAATATAATAATAATAAATTAATATTTTAATAAAATATAAATTTTGTAATAAATTAGATATAACTTATTTTTGTAAAATATAAAAAAAAATATTAATAAATTAAATTTCTAAGCTTTAATTATTAAATAAAATATTTTGAATTATATAAAAATTAATATGTAAGTT